TCATAAAAAACTTAAGTTAAATTAAAGAAATAAAGCAAAATAAAAACACGAAAATAATTCCATTCATTTTTACGGTCGTCCAATTCTAGTCACACTTCGCTTCCAAGATGTATGACGCGTCAACGTGATCGGAAGCATGCTGTTACTTTTTTTAATTTTTTGAGGCGCCACGCAATCATTGCGAATTCGCAAAGCTTTGACGACAATGCGACTGTAAGTACCTACTCAGGAAATGTCTGCGTGTGAATGTTGTTGTCGACGCTGGCATTCCACTCTAACGCCCCTCGGTCATGCAACCGCTTCTTCAAACAAAGCACTGCGAAAGAAAAGGGTGCGAAAAGAGTACTTGGTAGAGAACTTTGAAGGGCCCAAATGACTGGCTAGCTATATACATACATACATACATACTATGTATGTACACACACACGTACCTTCGTGTATGCATATGACTGACGAGGCGATTGGGGTTAAGTAAGTCACATATTAGCATAAACAAGTATTATATTTGCAAGTATAGTTCTGAAATGCGATAAGTATATTCCCATTTTCTATACACTTATAGCTGTTATAGCTTTCCCCTCGTTTGAGACTTTAATACGCGCACTTTGGTGCACGCTTATGCATAATAATAAAGAAGAAATGCAAGTGCAAATGTAATTATGTAAAAAAACGAAAATCGATAAAATAGGGTAACTATGCGCAGCAGTGAAACGTGAAACGAGTACCATTAAATCGGTTGAGTGTCAGCTATTAATCTGAATGGCTCTAATGGTATGTCAAGGATACATTATAATTGTGCAGCAAAAATATATTCTATCCATATCACGTACGAATCAGTGATTTCGCATATGATTATTCAAATATAAGTTCTCCTTTTTATTAGTAATATCATACACATAATTTTGAGATGAATTTAAATATTTTGACTTTTGATATTTAAAGCAAAATTAAAGTAAAACATTTCCCTGATATAACCGATCCTCAAATGGTTCATGATTTTTTTATGGTTTTCGGAGACTGTTTTCGCAATAATTTTTTGCAGCCTTTTTTTTGATTACGATTTGCGGGGAATTTCAGTTTACATGGGAAAGCTTTTTTGCTTCACTAATTACATAATGATTTAAAAAAAATGTAAGTTGAAATGTCTCACCCGTCCTCGTGGAATGACCCGTATGCAGTTTTGAAGCTCATTCAATTGTAGTATAATAAAGTTTCAAATGGCTAAAAATTACTATTGATTTTTTAGAATTTTCTATGTCGTATTTGCTTTCATATAACGAATATACTAGCCGGCCTCATATACCCAACGCTTCGCCAGGCGCTGAATGTGTACATAAGTATCGGCGTAGCCAGAATGAAATTTAGGGGAGGGGCTCGACCCTATTAAGCTGGCATTTCAGGGTACTATTTTATATATACATATAAGGAAAATTTGAAAGTTAGGGGGGGCGGACTCGAGCACCCCCCCTGCCCCTACCTGGCTACGCCCATGTACATATACGCAACAGGTGGCAAGCCTATTAAAAAATAAAGCCTTATTGCACATCTAATCGCTAAGCCCTTTCATTTGACATATGGTTTTAATGCAACGAACGGTGTGGATCTTATAATTTTTTATGCAGGTGGCAACTCTATTCAAAAAAATAAAACCTTATTGCACATCTGGAAGCCAAGTCCTCTCATTTAACGACTCACTATTTAGTCCATCGAATAGTCCACATCTTATAATTTTTCGTACAGGAGGCAACCCTCTTCGAAAATGTAAAACCTTATTGCACATCTGAACGCCAAGCCTTTTCCTTTGAGACATATTTTTTTTCAAATGAATGAACTGCGCAAATCTGATGTAATTAAAAAAAAATGCCCTCACGTATTATATATAAGGTGGTAATTTTTAAAAAGGTGGCAACCCCACTAAAAAAACTAAAGCTTATTGCACATCTGAAGATCATATCCTTTCAATTTTTTTTAAATTGAATGAACTGCGAAAATCTGATGTATCTAGGTAATAAAAGTATGGTTATTTTTAAATAGGTGGCAACCCCACTCAAAAAAAATTAATGCTTTTTGCGAATTCGGAGACCATGTCCTTTCATTTGGTACCTCATTTTTTAGTCCAACGAACGGTGAAGATATTATAATTTAAAATAAAGTGGCAACCCTACTCAAAACATAACACAATACTGAACATCTAGAGCAGTAATGGGCATTTCATATCATGCGTGTAGCTCAACTGTACGTTTTTCACAGGTATATGCTCACACATTATATTGCCGAACAAAAAAGAAATTCAACCAAACAACCAGTCTGGATAAGCTGTCGCCGAGGCATGTTGCGTTGTTTGCACGCTTCTTAGCGCGCAGTTTTTGTCAAAAATTAGGTGTTGTGCTTACGCGTTTTAACTGAAGTACCCCTATCGATACAGAATATATACAACAAAATCTCATCCAAATCCGTTCAGTAGTTTTCGATATTAGGGTGTAAAAAAATCTTGGCTTTGCTTTATACTACGTAAGGATAAGATAGCAATTTTAAATAGGTGGCAACCCCAATCAAAAATATTAAAGTTTTTGTACATGCGTAGGCTCTGCCCTTTCATTTGGTATCTCATTTTGCTATCCAACCAACAGTGAAGATCTTTAATTTTTACACAAATGGCAACCCTACTCAAAAAAATAATAAATTTTTGCACATCAAGAGGCTAAGTATATTTGTTTGATGGTGATTGTGCAGAACTGATACCTTCGCTTATTAAGATTGAATAAAGTAACGCAACGCAAACGTCAAAGCTGTGAAGCTGTGTTTTTTTTGTGATCTGTTTAGATTTTGTGTTTTATAAAGCTGTTTATGCTTAATAAAGTAAAAAAAAGTGTTAATAAACTTCTGGTGCACAATTTAAAGATAAAAAAATATCAAAATTCCCTGTAAATGTGATTAACTTAACTTGATATTTCTAATTGCATGAGCCGAGTATTTTGTTTCATTGTTGTTATACAATTGCTTTTGTTTGTGCACATTGATTTTGCTCTTTTCGTCATTTCTGCTGTTTCATCTTTGTCACAGCTGTTTGCGTTGTGTTTATTAGGTGTCAGATATACAGTGTATTTAAAACTGTACGTTACATAGCTTTCCAACTGATATTTACCAGCTGATTGGTTCTCTGATTGATACATCTTTTTCGAAACTGTTTTGCTTTTTTGCTTCTAAAACCTAAAAATAAATATAATTTTAAACATGTCGTGTATTTCCACCAATTGCCACGTTAAAAGCGACTCCTATGTATCATGCTGGCTCTGCGAAGAGATTGCCCATATAAAATGTGGTGGTTTGAGCGGTAGGGTGTTAGACGCTATTAAATATTTATGCTTATCTAGAGGCCAATCCCTTTCATTTGGCACCTCATTTTTTGTAATCCAGCGAACGGTGAAGATCTTATCGTTTTAAACAGGTGGCAATCCTACCCAGAAAAATAATACATTATTACACATCTAGAGGTTAAGATTTTCATTTGACAGTGACGGTGCAGAACTGACGCCTACGCTTTTTAGGATTGAATATAGTAATTTTCATAACAGGTGGCAACCCTATTAAAAAAATAAGACATTAGTGCTTTTCTAGAGGCCAATCGCATTCATTTGACTCCTCACTTTTTGTAATCCAACGAACGATGCGGATCTTATAGTTTTTTAGAAAGTTTGTTGATTTTGTTTAAATATTGCACAAAGTTTAAACTTGTATTTAAACGGGTTTTCTTAAAGAACGAACTATATTTTTATAAAGGTAACTCAAATTAAATAAAAAAAAATATAATTATTATGAAAACTTGTCAAAATTTGGTGCGGCTCATTTTTTTTCGACCGCTGTATGTACATAATGTAAATATTACATGTACATTTTGTATTCTTTATTTGTTAACAAACTTAATAAAAGTTTGGTTTGGTTTATGAATACATAGATGAATTTTATATACTTAAAAATAAAATAAACAGAAATACCAGCAATATATCAAAATACATAAGTACATTTTTTTAAATAAGGAGATATCTATAGGGTGGGAATTTTATGAAATTTCGGGCAAAATCGGGGAATTTCATTGTCGAAATCGGGGAATTCTCAAAAATAAGTTGGCTACCCAGCTGCAGGCCATTATGATAGCGCACCCCTTTGTCGACATTGTTTTATTTATATATGTACAATCGGATTTACACCTAGAATATGATATATTTTTATAAAAAGTTTATGAATATTAAATGTACAAAAGGAAAACTGTAAATATTAAGGATCAAAAGGGTGCGCTGTTCAAATGACGAAGAGTGTAAAATACATATTTTATTTGCGTTAAAAATTCGTTGTAACTCAAATCAAAACTCTCTAGTGGTTGTCCAGCTTATATGTTTGCTAATATGTATGTATGTTTAAATCTCTACTACCAGCAGTTGTATGTATAGTAATATACATATGTACATACATATATAGGTGTTTTTGGTGAACGTCCCTAACGCAAATAACTTGAAGTCTTAGTTTCAGACCACAAAAACGACCACTGAAATCAGCGTACCCGTATTATATTAACCAAATTTGCCCCATAAATATTTAAAAAAAAAGTTCCCGATTCGAGCACTGTTTTAAGGATTCGCGGATTTAGCACGATCGATTTATTATTTTCGTACCAGATGGGCTGACAAAAATGTCGCCTCTTCATAAGAATTGCAAAATATTTCTGATATTAAGATATTTTTCATTCACGAAAATTTTACACTTCTGTTCTGTTACTGCAACCTTTCATATTCTCAAGTTACCACTTCTACTACATAACTCAACATCGCATTAACTGTATTTATCCATTAAATGCCATTCATGTCTCTCTCAGTTCAAATACACCAGTGCATAGGAGTAGGTACATATTTACATCCAATAGATTGTGTTTACACACTATTCGATTAGATATACATATTGCAATACAAAGAATAAACAAACACAAATGCATCAACATGTCCTACCTTCACGCATCTCCTTGTAAGGATCATCGACATGCGACTCCTTGTAGATGATAGAATGAAAACCAATATTCCGATTGCCGTCAGTTTGTCCATTTTTATCATTTCCGCCGGACGTTGTAAATGTTTTCAGCGTCGTTTCCCTCGATGTTGTTGTTGTTGTCGGTGATGCTGTTGTTGAGCTCATCGTCGTTGTCATTGATGTTGATGATGATGTGCTGCTTGTCGAAGTTGTTGCTGTATATTGTTCAGCAACGCGTCGTTGTGCCAGTGGCATTTGTGTACCATTCGTACTTAATGCTGCTGCCGTAGCTACTGTTGTTGTTGGCGGGAAATAACGTTTGGCATGTTCAACATAATAGGCATCACGTTCAGTTATTATTTTACCCTCGAATACCCCATCCAAAATAGAACCAAATACATAACTATTACGATCCCCTATCACTTCGCCCTCGTAAATGTGATCGGTGGACACATCCAAGGGGAGATTGTTGCTATCATAAAACTAGAAAGGGGAAGGAAAAAAGAGTGAAATGAATATAAATGGTAGACATTTTATACTTGAAATTAAATATTTTACCAAAAGAACATAACATTACATATGTATATACTCATATACCCAGCAACACAAAGTTTGAACCGTTTGACAAAAATTTATTTCCCAATTTGATATCAAATGTTTTTCTCAAATTGAAAAGCGGTTTAGATACTACATGAAATCATTTTAGATTGATTTGGAGAAATATAGTTTCGTAATAATGATCGAAAAATGTTTCCTAAGAATTGTACATCTCTATAACACTATGCGCCAAAATCAAATTGGTTGACTCGGTATTGAGCAAAACCAAATGCAAGTGATAGTTTTAGGGCCAAATTAACAGTGCGTAGTTAACTCAGAATTGGCAGTTAACTACAGACTTTCAGTACAGCTAACTCAGAATCGGCAGTTAGCTACAGATTTTCAGTACAAAAACGATTTTTAAAATAAAAAAATGCAAAAAAAAAGGAACAAAATACAATAAATAAATTAATTTCTGTTTAAAATATTTATTTCGGTGTTTGAAATCACATCCCGACTGATTTTTTTAATGAAGACAACTAATTTGAATATTTATTAAAGAAAACTGAACGAAATTCAATCAAATTAACCTGCAGTGCCATCTAGCGCAAAGCTAATAATAAACGAACATCAAAAAGGAACAGTCCAGCGCCTTCGTCTTGGTCTGCAGGCTGTATCGGAGATACATCTTCATCTTCATCATCATCATCATCATCATCATCATCATCATCATCATCNTCATCTTCATCTTCATCTTCATCTTCATCTTCATCTTTATCTTTATCTTCATATTCATCTTCATCTTCATATTCATCTTCATCTTCATCTTCATCTTCATCTTCATCCTCATCTTATCTTCACCTTCATCCTCATCTTCATCTTTATTTTCATCTTTATTCAAAACCATTTCTTTTGATACCCATATTATTTTAATAAATAATTTGAATTTGATTTTCATATATATGGCAACCCTTTAAAAAACTAAATTCATATTACACATCTACAGGTCAAGCCCTTTCATTTGACACCTCATTTTTGAAAATCGAACGAACGGTGCAGATGTTATGACTTGGTGTTAAATATTTAACGCAACCAACTCCCAACTCGCGTAAGAAGTTTCACTTCAAAAACGTCGCTTACAACTTTTTGGTGGCTAGAGCTCGATATATGTATGGTGTAATTTTAAATTATCTATATGCATAACGTTATTTGTTTAAACTTACCTCTAACTTATCACTAAATGTATTTAAATCACGTTTTAGCCTAAGATGGAAGTCTCTTCCGTGTGCTGAAAATTTTAAATCTACATGATGATCTTTGGTCACGGATCGTTTCGCTCTATTGTGACTAGTTCGTATGTGTTCATGATCATAGTTGAGTTCCTCATAGTGCGATATGTATTCGTTGAGTAGACGCTGACCTGAAAATGAAAGAAAAATAGAGAAAATTGACTAACAAAGAAAATAATGCATTTACATTTTCTAAGAATTTGCACCTCCAAATAAGTAAGCGTTATAATAAGAGTTTTACAAAAGAATTAGTTTGTCTACAAACTTCCAGTTCGAACATACTGAAATAGTCAAGCTAAATATTTTTTTTGTTCTACATATCGACGCCTCCAAACCATACTATGCTAAGTCTGCCTAAAACTCTAATGACTTTACATGGTATGGTTTGGAGGTGCTGCGGTTGCCAGACGTACTGATTTGGGAAGGACAGTACTGAATTTTCATTCGCTGTACTGAAAATTTTCAATTCCCAATTCAGTACGCAAATGTCCTTATTTTTGGGAAATTTGTTCTGATTTGTACCGATTTTTCAACCTTTATTCCACATCGTTGATATTTATCAGTGCGGTTACAGAATTTTCGATGGGGAGGAGCGGGTCGTTCCGTGCCGATAAGTGTAGGATATCAACAATCCAGCTATGAAAAAATCAAAAACGTGGCTCGATTTCAACCGTACCAAAATTATCTGGCGGAAGTAAAAAATTAAGAAGATATCAATGGTAAAAATTATTAATTTATTTATTTTTTTATTTTTTTAAATATCAATATCTTCTAAACAACAGAAGCTAATAAAAAAAACTAATGACGTCAAAGTAAAGGTAATTAGTGGGTCTTTCATTTGGTACATAATTTTCTGCCCTTTTTGTATTTTTAAGCCAGAAATCCGTAATAAACAAAAAAAAATGTAAATATTTTTTTTAATTGCTTTTATTTAAAATTTATTTTAAAAAGGGTTATACTACATACGTCGCGTAAAAGATATTTAAACTAGGATCAATACTTTTGTGATCGGTCAAATAGTTTCCGAGATGTTATAAATATAAAAAATAGAAAAGTTTAATTTTAACCTCTTTTATTGGCTTTGATTTTTATTTTTGCCAAATAATATTGATATGGTTGAAATCAAAATGAAAAGCTCTATAGAGTCAAATTTTATTTTTTTTTGCTAAATAGTTGGTACTTCACACCACGGCTAAGATGGTAATATTGTAAAGGCAAAAGTAAAAAATTCAATTGACATCCGGTTCGTTTCTTTAATCGCTAGCAAGAACACAAGAAACCATAAAGAACTTGCGATATCGGCAACAAAATGTCAAAATGAAAAAAAACGGTTCGTTATAGTGGCCTAAAGAGTGGCTGCATAGCACTAACTTGCCACAAAAAAGGAACAACCAAGGGAGAACAAGCTATGTATGCATCAACAATATGTGTCATGCCAGCCTCTAAGTGAACTAACATGTGTATAAGCATGCTTTCAAAAAAAAAAACTAGAAAAATTGGGTTAATGGAATATAAGTGAATCTTGCAACCGCAGTTGGACTGAGTGCAACAAGTGTATAAGTGGGCAGTTTGTGCCCAACATTAGTATGTATGAGTGCCAATGTGTGAGCGTGCGTTGACCTGCACATCCCACATACCTATGTATGTATGTACCCTGCAGCAAAATTTAGAGACAGTCTGGCAAAGCGCTAGTTCTGCCTTACAAATTTCAGAACTGTCTCTGAACTGCTGCAAAAGGGATGCAGAGCTGGACGGTTGAAACTCACATGTTGCTAGTTGCGCTGTCATCAATGTTACTTATCCTGGTCATGCGAAAGCTGACAAAAGAAGCAAAATATACTACACTACATTTCATATAAACCGTGTTTTCAAACTTTATATAAAACAAAAAAAAATTAACGAATTTTAAATCAAAATTTTCGACCTTTTAATTAGATTTAAAAAATAAAAATAAACAAAAGTGATAACCAATCTCATTATGAAATGGGGGTGCTATTGATATGACAGATACTGTACATACGTAAATAAATATATCACTGAGCTCCGAAATGTTTAGTTATGCCGTGATGTTTTTTAATTTCTAATGTTTTTCATTTTAAACATTTTTCGTTAAGATTTTTTTTAAGTAAATATGTCTCATATTCCATAAACCATTTAAATTCAAATTCCTAAATGTGCTGCAAACTTGATATAACTCTAAAACTGTCTTCAAATTTAAAACCTTTTTAATAAAAATTTTTTTATAAATATTTCGGGTATTCAATTTTGTAGCCTATCAAATTTTAGTGTAGTAAAGTGTAACTTTGCATCTTTAACGAAAATATTTAAATAGCAGAATACCTTCAAGAGCGTGCGTAAAAAGAGTTATGAAAAATCAGCGCGATTAATTATATTAAAATTTAATGTGCCACACAACTCTGCATGAAAACCATTGTCAATATCCAAAGTTCTATGTATTCTCATTAGATGCCGGAGTAACGCTGAGTTATCACAAATAAGCATTCAATATATCCCCGTTTTTCTAATTTTTTCACACGACCTAGTTTAGATTTATAATTATAAGTAATTCAGAAATACCCATTATATGTAACAAATATAAATTATTTTTAAGAATAACGGTTTTAGAAAATCAAAGGAATAATTGACACTTTATGTTCCTAATTTTAAACCACAGTTTGCCTTAAAAGTAAATTAGTGCAAAACAAAAAGCTCTTTAAACATAAAATGAAAACAAAATTGTATGCGTGCTTATTTAATTACAGTATTTATAGAAAAGGCTCTATACTATACTTCTTAGAACCAGCTCAAAACTAACCACATTTGTTCTAGCCCGGAGGTGACGCTTTTTGAACTATCTACGAACTGTTGTTATATGAACGGTCTCAGAGCCATCTAAGCCAGAGTCAGCTCAGAACAAGTTCAAAAGTTCTGCAGAGGGCGACAATTGTCACGTCGTAGGACATCGCCATTAAAAAAAGACAGTTGAAAACTTATTGAGTTGGGATAGATGAAGAATCAGTACCGTCCCTTTTCAGGTTAGCCCAACGCAAGTTCTGAACCAGTTTGATTTGCTGCAGGGTATGTACTCATGTATCTTGAGACAATACAATGAAGACTGAAGCATTTTGGCTACTGTAAACTCAAAGCAAAGTTGCTTAGTGGTTATTGCAAAGTTGCTACCACTTGTATTTTCCCTACAGGGAAATCGCGAACTAGTGAATCACATTTATAGTTTCGTAATAGGTCTTTATCGCAAAAAACGAACCAGACCGATAGTAACTAGCTCCTCGCCAGTTCAAAATCAACGAAATGTGGTACTTTAAAAAAAACTATTTTATCACTTTTCTCATTAGAAATCTGTATATAAGGTGACGGTTCGGAACTATCGAAAAAGGGATGCAGCGGGGGCCTTGTTTACTTTGATATGTGTTTGGCGGCTTTTTCGTTCAAATACGCTTCCATTCTGAACTTACCAGATGCTTTTTCATAGCTTGGTAATACAAAACAAAAATTTGTGTTAACGTGTTAACATCTTGGGGCCTCCTGGAATCAGCAAGCACCTCTGAAAACTCAGCTACAGTCAAAGATATGTAAACGTACATTTCTTACAATCATTCAAACTAATTTAATTTCAAATTGAAAACAAATTTCTTTGAAAATGATTTAAAATCGTACACACGGAAAAACCGAAAAGACTGAAAATTCATCATACTGAATTTCTTTCATCTATCGCTTTTAAAACTGGTTCGGAACTACAGAATTTAGAACTAGCTCGGAACTATCGAAAAAGGAATGAAGCGGCGGGCAATTGACACTTTCTAGGACATCGCCATGTTAAATTCGCCAGTTGTTTGCATGGAAAAGAGATTTACCGCGAACCAGTACTGGGTACATATGTACTAGAAGCGCACCAGTTCAGAACTAGAGATTTTCTCTACAGGGTTGCCACCGCAGTACAGTTTTGCAGCCGCAACCACATGTTTAAAGGCACACTAACACACATAAGTGTATTTACACAAGTGTCCATTGCTTTGCTTCGTCAAGTGCTCGAGCGCGCCAAAAGTGCCTAATCCAAAGTGCCTGGCCGCGGTTCAACGAGGTTGCTGTTGTTTTTGTTGTTGCATACAATTGGTGCGCTATTTCTATTGTAACTGAGCTAGTGTTTTTTGTTACTCATATAATAGCAACCACATTCGCGCAACTGCCACAAATGTCTCTCTGTTCCGGAGTAGCATCTGTTTTTATACCCGAGCGCACTTGTGCACAAGGGTATATTAACTTTGTTCACATAACGGTTGTTTGTAACAGCCAAAATGAATCGAGATAGATATAGACAAATGTATACGTAAATGCTCAGAATAAATAGAGAAATCGATTAAGCCATGTCTGTCTGTCCGTCTGTCCGTCCGTCTGTGTACACGATAACTCGAGCAAAAATAGAATATCTCAGCGAAATTTGGTATGTAGGTTTCCGTTAACCCAAGGTAGGTTAGTATTGAAAATGTGCGAAATCGGACTGTAACCACGCCCACTTCCTATATAACGGTATTTCCTAAAAGTGCAAAAACTACGATATTTCAGTAAATATTGGATCAAAATTATTGAAATTTAGTATGTGAAGTCGAATTTTGGTAAAAAATAGTATTATTATGAAATTTTTGGAAAATGGGCTTGACTCCGCCCACTTCTGATGAAATGCTGTATCTCAGTAGTCGCTTCATCAATCCTTCCCAAACGCGGTACGAACCTTACCTAGGGCCTAGCTAAGAAATCTGTTGAAAATACCCACACCTTCCATATAACGGTAATTTACAGAAACACGAAAACTGCGATGAATCAGTAACTACTGAAGCTAATTGACTCAAAATCGGTAACTACAATAACCACTTAGCACAAAATTAGATTATTATACACTTTTGTATAATGGGCGTGGCGCCGCCCCTTATGAACACAAATGTGTATCCCGGCAACTGATTCATCAATTTCTACCAAACTCGGTGTACTTAATAATCTAATAATGTACTAAGTACAAGAAAGAAATTCATTGAAAATTATTCTAATCGGATTAAACTTACACCCACTTCCCGTATAATGGTAAACTTCAGACATCCGAAAACTCCGATATTTCAATAACTGAGGCCGCTAATTTACTCCAAATTAATAGTTACAGCAATCTCTTGACAATAAATAAGACTGCTATAGACTTCTAGGAATTGGGCGTAGCACCGCCCACTTTATGACTACGAGGTGTATTTCGGTAACCACTTTATAGATTTCTACCAAACTTGGTTCAATTACTTCATTAACTCTAATTCAGCATATTATTAAAAAAGTTTGAAATCGGAAAAACCACCCCCTTCTTATCATGCAAATGTAGTTTAGAGAAAGTTGAACGACGATATTTTATACCGGCCTCGGGTATATAATGTTCGGTTTCGCCCGAACTTATACTTCTTTACTAGTTAGTTTTGTTGTAGGCTCTATGATAATTGTTGTTGCTAGCGTTGCCAGTTGTCCATTAGCTGCCTGCAACATTTGTCGATTGCACATTATTGTTTTGCCTCCATATGCGCGTGTGCGTATGTATATATGTATGTATATACATATATAGTAGCTGCTTGCCTCACTTTGTGGAGCCACTTAACAAGTTTTTGTTGCGGCCACGATCGCTGGACTAGTAGTAATACATGCTTAGTTACTGTTGTTTTACTTTTTGCAATCATTTGCCCACTTGCTTACTGGCAATTTTCCGTGAGACTGCAACAGCTGCAATCAGTTTTGCTGCAGTTGATTTCAATTTTACAACACGTTTTGGCAGTGGCCAGTTAGTAATGCCCCTCTTGTTATGGTTTTTTGTTGTCAATAACGTCAATATATACATACATATGTATGTATGTATGTATGTACGTGCATACGTTGCTGAATTTGAACTGGGGCACCACACTTGTGTCGGCGAACGAACAGGTCTACGTCGGTGTCGACTCGCCTGGTGCCTGATTTTTTTATAAATTCCCTCTCCTTAGATACCTTCCTCCATCCATCAGTTGCCATATTTTTTCTACTTCTTTTTCTACTGAACCACTTTCCGTTCACTTTGCCTTCTAATTGAGTTTGACCACACTTGGCGCTTAAAAACTGCTTTTGGTTTCACTTATAAGTGCCCAGTTTGCATCTGGAATTAGTGCAACAACAACAACACCTGCAATAACTAGCTTAAAATCCATCGTAAGAGCGAGAAAAATGTTGCTAACTCTAAGGGAAAAAGTATAAATTTGTCTATTGTGGTTAAGTCAGGAAGAAAAAACCTAGAAAATTAAAAAAAAAATTGTCAACAGCAACAACGAAAAAAGTGACTCTTTCCAGTTTGTTACATTTAACGAGTTTTGTTTTTGGTGTTTGTATAGTCATTATTATCATACGTATGATATATGTATGTATGTATATGATGAGTTAGCCGGAGATTGCTGATTACGAAGCTCAAAAGAAAAGTGTCCAGCTGAATCATCATCAAAATTTAAAATAAAATTATACACAAAATGTATATTTTATAAATACAATTACCGGATTTTGGTGCCATTTCGATACACTTTCCGTGGTAATGAGTGTTTCTTTTCCTTGCAAATCTAACATTTTCATTTTCATAACATTTAACATTCATTCTGACATTTTTCTTAAAATTTCAGACTTTTTAAGGCGAATTCATTGTGCTATTTCTGAACTTTTCTTGTTGTTGTTGCGTTTCTCTCACGGAGAGAGAAAAAAACAACAACCATGATTCCGCCTTTACTCGATTTGTTCAAATAAATTTAAGTGCAAGGTATGCAATTTTAAGAAAAAGCCTTTGCTTGGTTTTTTTGCATAGGGCTCAATACATATGAACGAAGCTCCCGTCTCACCAATAATACGTTTCATGATAAAAAAAAACACAGAAGATGATATTTGTAACATTAATTTCAACATCAGGTTCTTTAACGCTGTTTTTAGAGCTCTCAAAAGGAGAAAAGTGATGTGGGTCTAGGGTTTAACGAGAATAAGGAAAAAAGGTACACATTTTAGTGTTGGTAGTTCTAGTATTGAAGTGGTAAAAGGCCCTTAATAGGATCCAGCACTAGCCCAACCAATAATGTCAGATGGAAATCACGCAAGCTGGTTCCATTTTGGATTGGGTGGGCAATTGGTAAGCAGAGCTCTGTTTTAACGAACACAAATCACGCTTTAAAAAAACTCATTATACTCGTATTTTTATATAACGAAGAAAAGTTAGCAATATCAACAAATATAAAAAAGGCTTAGGGAGCATTCGAGAAAAAATGAATGTACAGAAGGGAATTGAATTACAAAATGTACGAGCATTTCAATGATATGGACTTGCTAAAAATACATTCCTTTGGTTGATCATGCTTCAGATGAACAACGAAATCAAGAACACCCACGAATAATTAGCAAAGAAGAATAACTGTCGGCGCTTCGCAAAGAGAGAGATAATTGACGAAGTTTTTAAACTCGATCTAAATGGATAAAAAGGGTGCACTCAAGTAGGTAGGTTGAACTAAGGCGTTAAGAAATAATAGATATTTATTTATACGAGGAGTGCCAGTTACTGTTGAAATTCGGCCGTTCTTCTTTATACCTTTATTATATCTTCGAAGGTCTTCGGAGGACTTTGGCAGGGCTAGTATTATTCCCGTTACATTGCTGTTTTCGATAAATTTCGATAATTTGTTAAACATCGATAATTCAATGAATTTCAAAAACACTAAAATTATTTATCTCTAAAAAATTCGATATCTTTACTAATTTCGACAAATTTCGATAATTGTGCTTCTAGGGCTTGATAAATTTGGATAGCTCCAAAATGTATATATCTCTATATAAATCGATAACTCGTTGAACTTTGGATACTTCGATAACTCGGTTAATTTAGATAGCTACATAATTTTCGAAATCTACCGACCAATTCCTCCGGTAGCACGAGAAAATTCAATAAGCAGATATAACATTGTGAAAATTCCAAAAACTTCGATTCGATAAATCGACAAATTTCAGTAAATCAATAAATATCGATAATTCGATAAGTTCAAAGAACTCGATACATTACGCTAACTCGACAAATTTCGTTAACTATATACCTACAACATTATAAATACATTTATCTTAATATGTTTTTCTTTATTTTTATACTTTCCTTTATCCTGATATTCTTTCCTTTATCCTGATATCTTTCATATAAATACATATTCACCCTCACCTTTGTTTTTATCTTTTATATCTTTGATTTTATCCTTTCCTTCATCTACATATTCACCTGGATGAAATGTTATGTGATGTGACGTCAGGTAATGCGATGGCGATGTGATGTAATTTTATGTGATGCGATAAGATGTCAAGTCATGTGCTGTCATATCAAGTAATTTCATGTCACGTTATCTGATTTCATGCCGTGTGATATCATGTGATATGATATCATGTGTGATGTCATGTCATGTGGTGCCATATCATATCATGTGACTTAATTTGTTGTCATATAATGTGATCACATGTGCCGATTATTATATCGGTAAAACTGTTGATAACAATATCGATACACGAATCGGCAAATGTACCTATTGCACATTATATTAATTTATTGATAAATATATCGATAACAATATCGATTATTATATCGATAACAATATCAATCTTCATCCTCATCTTTTGCTTAAAATTTATCTTTATTTTGGCATATTCCCTTTCACCTTTGCCTTAGGGTGTCTAGATTTACCTTGATCTTCGTCTTTTCTTTATCTTAACGCATTTTTGTTTTTATTTTAAACTTTGCCTTCATCCTTTTCGTCATCTATTTATTTGCGTACTAAACTTTACTTTCATTCTTGTATTGGGTTTAATGAAAATCTTATTCTTAAACTGCTTATTAGCACGTTTTTGTTAAATTAATACCATGTGCACACATATAAGAAGCACTTGTTTCCGTTGCACCCATTTCCGTGTGAATCATATCTGTGTGCATCATTTCCGTTGAATTTGCCAACCAACCGCCGCTTAAGGGAAGTTTCAACAAGTAATTTTTAAGCAAAAAACAAAACCGACTTCAATTCTCATATAAAAATTTAAGATTATCGTTAATCTATTCATGACCCAATGATCGAATTTAAACCAAATTTGAATGGGGGCCACCTGTGAGGTAACACCTTTCCTTTAAAAAAGGATTATAGAAATCGGTTGACGTGGTCCAAAGTTATGCGGTAACATACATAAAAAAAAACCAAAATTCCGACATTGATAACCTTCCTCGTTTTTGTGAAGTTGGTTAAAAATTCGATAAATGTTCTTACCCTTTAGTTACCTAAATTCTTATGTATTTCTCATTGTTTTCATTGAAGTAAAACAAAATGCGAAAACAACAGCTATACCCAAATACGGAAATTTTCAAGCGACGATTTCGTAATTACAACCAATTTTTAAACCATAAAAACTCTCCTCATCTACAGAACAATACCTTTCCAATGGTTTTTTTTTTGGTTTTGAAATCGGTTCGGTAGAATCGCCAAATGAAGGCGGACAAAATTAATGTTAGCATATTAATATATACATACATATGTAATTGAAAAATATGCGAACTCGTGTTCTTCTGAAAATTTCTTCGACGATGGTAACGTTTTTTACGAAAAATACTGAATCACCTTTTTACACCTCTTTACAACATTAAAAGAAGAAATGCATATCTGGAAATAACACATAATTTGAGCAAATTAGTGTTAATAATATGCATAACATAGGCCAACAAACTCATGAGTTTACTCGCTTTTAAACAAGAACAACGTGCTGGAAGAAAAACAAAGCCAACGCTCAACACGTTTATGACCTGTAAACGCCCGAAACTGTGCACATTTACATATTCGTTTAGAAACATTTTTTCACGCTGTTGTGTAAGTACCCGGTAGGGTAGTCGACAGGTATGCATACATACATACATACATATTTATGTTTCTTAACCGAAATGGTGAACAAAATTTGTCTGAAGTAGACGACCATAAATGTTTCTACACTAATTCAGACTTTCCTGCAGGATTCGTAAAGGTAAAATGTATGTGACATTATCTGCATCAGTGTCGTGTAAAGCAGAAAATAAAAAAGGGAATATAGAGGGAACACAAAAAATTAAGTTGAATTACTCGAATGGGACCATAAATTAGACAAACACACCTGTCGCAGCAAAAACATGACAACGAAAATGTTGTTGCTAATCCCCAGGAGGGTAGCTTGTGGGTGGCGTTGAGTCGTTTTGGCGATGCGTAAACTTTATGAATAGGATTTTCGGCTTGTAAACTCGGTTAGGATATGAAAAAAGCCTTTCTAATATACATATATGTGGATATTTGTTAGTATTCAATTGCCTAAAGCAGCTTGCGATAAACAAAAGTGAATAATCTACAATTAACAGGTAGTTTGGGAATTTCGTTAAAAAATATTTTCGCTGTAAACATTTTCCGTTCTCTACTGCCAAAATAAATTTTCTCTATCATAAATTTATAACTAATCTTTGGTATCCT